TATACAATAGATAGATGGTCACGATTTAGGATCGTGAATATATGCATTTATACCCATTTATTCCTCTCTCATGTTTTCAGAGTCGCAATCTGCAATCGAATCGGCTCGTTTTCGTCTTGTCTCGCCACCTCTACCCCTTTCCGTTCCTTTTACTTCTCCTTCTCGTGACGCCGTCGACTCTGCTGGTCGGTCTGCCTCCGATTCTGACAGTAATGGCTGGGCTGGTATTGCTGTTGCCACGGCAGTCGCTGCGGCCGCTGCAGCAGCGGCCGCAGCCGCAGCTACTTCTGCCGCCCCAAATAGCGGTGCAGAACCTAGTACTGATCTAAGCAGTTTTCCCACATCTTCTACCGAGTCCGGTGCTCCTAGTACTGCACTCTCCACTGTGATTCCACAGGCTCCCCTCTTCCTTCTCTGCCCTGGCCTTCCGCAGCTACCAGCACCCAGTCTCTTGCTGGCCCTGTTAGCTGGCCTCGAGGTTGCCTGGTCCAGCCCACAGGCTCCTCGTATTTCAGCTTCTGACATGCTGGAGGAACTGATGCCTGGTGGATCTGCTGAAGGCCCATTTCCGGTCCGCGGAGCCCCAGAATCATGCAAACAAAGAGCAGTGAGAGTGAGTCTATCCATATTTATTTGAACAGACATAGTTCCATCATACTGATATTCTCTAGTTGTTTCTCGCTATGAGACAAGTGTAGAGCAAAAATAAGACCTATTTTATTCTTTTATGAACCTATATTCTTTGCCTCGCTAATTATAGTTGTTTTGCGAATTTCTTGATCTCTGCGCTTTTTAGTTGGTCGTGGACATGGGATGTCGTCGGGCCGATTCTCGGTCCACCCTATTCCAGCAAACTCTTGCTGTATTCTCTCTTCTCTCTACAGCCTGCCATCAGATCGATGCAATCACTCCTGCACCACCAGCCCTCTTGAGAGTTATTTCCACTGGGCCACAGCATAATCAGGGGCTGTCAGGAGTGGCGACCACAACAAGCGCTACCCCTACTGCTTCCATACCCTCGACTCCGACAACGGCTACATTAACGTCAACTGTCTCTTTGCCAACGCTACGCCGAGATCCTTATCGCCCCCTGCCGCCTTTGCCGCCGTTACATCACTTGATGGCCAGATTGACTCCGCGAGAGTTGGCCGTCTGTTGTTCGGACGCAAGACGAAATCTACGTCTACGACTTGGTTTTGCTTGGTTTGAGGCTACGCAAGCTGCTGTGGCCTCTGTTGCCGCTGCAGCCACTGCCAGTGTTGCACCTAGACCAACCCGAAACCCAACTTCTGGATGTGAGTCTTGCCAGGATTTGAAAAGGCAAAAAAAAATTTTGAGGCATCAACTACGATCATGGGGTTTCTTTTGTCTTTGTTTAGTTGAAAAGTAGTTGAAG